GCCACCATGCCCAGCTAATTTTTTGTATTTTTAGTAGAGACGGGGTTTCACCATGTTGACCAGGATGGTCTCGATCTCTTGACCTCGTGATCCACCCCCCTCGGTCTCCCAAAGTGCTGGGATTATAGGCGTGAGCCACCGCGCCCGGCCAGTTTCTGAGTTTTAACACATGCTGTGAATTTTCTCTCACTTATGCTAACATCTCTAACCTGCTGGGCAGTGAGGAGTTCCCTCATGTTTTTCTTAGAAAAGGGTACCCTGGGTATTTATCCTTGTCAGTCACTTCTCCTTGCCCTTGGTTTTCAGTTTGCAGACCCACAGATGGCTGATATCCTCTGTAGGCTATTTTTAAAGACTCTCCCTACTGTCCTTTGAGATCTTACTAGAACTGTGTGGAATTCTCTGTCTGTCCACTTCCCATCTTACTAGCACATGGTCTTTCACACTTTTGGAATGTTTCTGTCTCCTTCACTTTAAACACTGAGTCCTAAACTGTGGTGAGAGATTCAAAATTGTCAGTTAGAAGCTAAAGTTCTCCAGATCAGAGGCACATGGAATATACCATGCCACTGCACCCAAGAATCTAACCTGATGTTTGCAGATATTGATACTTGGTGACTTGCTTAGTCATTCTGCTGACTTCTCGCTGGACTTGCTCTTAAGGTTAGATTTTTCTGTGGTGCTAGATTCTGAAACCTCTCTCACCTCAGATTACCTTGTGATCTTTCTTCATGCTAAGTGCCAAGGAACCTACTTTCCCTCAGGTGTTATCTCTAGTTGTGAGTCTAGCTGTCTCCTTTATCATAGGTCTCCAAAGTCAGCATCTTCACACACCTCTGATAGAAGTTACGTAAAGCTGTGGCTGTCTTAGAATAGGATGCATCAAGTCTGCATCTGTGTGTGAAGAGTGCGGACAGACGACACCCATTCTGGCCACGCGGTCACTCTGTGTGCCTCTATCTTGACCCCTTTTAGGTAGGAGGACACACCATGCTCCCCATTCGCTGGATGCCCCCTGAAAGCATCATGTACCGGAAGTTCACTACAGAGAGCGATGTGTGGAGCTTCGGGGTGATCCTTTGGGAGATCTTCACCTATGGAAAGCAGCCATGGTTCCAGCTCTCAAACACAGAGGTAAAAAGGGGGTGCATAGGAATGTTGATTGGGGGAAGGCTGATAAGCGCTATCTCAGGCCAGGTCTTGCACATACTGGACAAGACATTAGGTGGGATTTAGAGCCAGCAGAGTGAATGTAGGCATTAGTGGGAGCAGAGAGCTTCTTAGTAGGAAAAGAAAAAAAATGGAACTGAAGGAAATGTGGCATAATTGTCAAAAGAGCATGAAATTAGACATCTAAATTGAGACTCAAGTCATGGCTGTGTTCAGTCTGCTACCCTTAAAAATCACTAATTTTTCACTATGACAGAAAATGAAAACAAAGAACAACTATGAGTTTTTCAATTGTGTCATCTTGTGGAAACACCCGCTATTTAGTATGCCCACATAATCTGTGTGTACAAAGGTTTTAGGTATGCCAAGCCACGGGATGTACAGGATGGTGAATTTGGAAAGGCCAGTTTTATAACTGACAGAGCCATGTGTGAATGTCTAGGAATAAAATAAACCATCATAGTAATAAATACTCATTATATTTATATAAT